AAATTATAAGCATTTTTAAATTGTAATTATTTACACGCTCATAACTCACATACAAATTAAAATATCATTAAATAACTAACAAAGAAATACAGTTTTATAACAGGTGAATTTATTCTAATGTTTAAAGTAATAATTGTATAAAAGCAAARAGTTGGTTCTTATTAAAGAAAATTTGTTATGTTGCGCAYTGGTTAGCGAAAKAATACAAGTAGTATACTGATATCTATGTGATCCTATATATTAAAAATGTTCAAGAAGTAAAGAAATCGAAGTTTGCAAAATAATTAAATAATCAAATCATTTTTAGTAATATAATGAAAATTAAAACTGTAGCACCTAATACGTCGTCGTTATTAAAATAGATACACAATTTCCTAATAAATATGCTAATTTTTGCCAAATTGTTTTATTACTTATTTAAATTTAACCGTTCATTTCTGATTTGATAGTGAATATTGGAGGATGATACTATAAATTAATGCTTTAAATTGAAAAAATATATGATAAAAAGTTAAATAGTTTTAATGATAAATCAGCAAATGTGTGGTAGGATTTAAAAAAAAAGTTGAGTTGCCCATAAAAAAAGAATTAAAAGTTATACCCGCCCTTTAAAGGCTAGTTAGGTTAGGTCACTTATTCATGGACACATTTTATTGTTGTTTGCTGTAGGTATCTTGGCTCTAAAAACAAGTTTCTTTGAGATAATCAGCATTTTGTGTGCAGTCTTAAAAACTAGGAATTCATTGTTATCTCTGTGACATGCATTGTTTTTCTCTTGAGTATTTCATATACATAATATTTCTTAACTAATATAAGCATGCATACTACATTTTTAGTACTATTTAGATATACCATTGGTATCATCATAATTGAAATAGAAAAAATAAATTGTCGTCTTTTAATAGACACTTAGTGGTATAAAGTTTTTACTTGAATGATTATCTATTTTTTAATTTTCACAAGAGTGGGCTTTCACCTTTACCGTAACTATTTAAAAATCGATAAAAAATTTACCATATTATGTTGTGTTAATTATTTATATTGTAATTTATGAACAAAATTATTGTACGTTTTACAACTTTTAAAAGTTTGTATGGCGTATAGTTAAATTAACATATTATAATATGACATTCAAAAGTTTAAAATGTATGGGTACATGTTAATATTATGTAATAGGTTAAATATATTTTATTGAACGAACAAGTATAATTGCGAGTTCGTTTGTGTATA